GAAACACAGATAGACATTCCTCTGGTATTCCCTGCTTTCAGCCAAGATCCATCTAACATCAGCTACAATATCTCTAGTACCACAACCCCTTCTGAAACCAGCCTGGACTTCTGGTAGTTTTCGCGAAGCTGAATCCTAGGAATTACAAGTTATTAAAATATGAGTGAAATCTGCACACTTGTTTTTATTGCTGTGTTACTCACAATAGCAAAGAGACAGAAGAAACCTGAGTGTCACTAATAAATGAATGGATAGAAAAACTATGGTACATTCACAGCATTGAAAAACAGTGAACTCATAAAACATTACACAACAGGGAGGAGCCTGGAGGAAATTATGCTGAGTGAAATATCTCAGTCACAAAAGAACAAATACTGTGTAATACAGCTGTTATAAAATAGGACAGATGCGGACTTGGGAGACTTGGGGAGAACTTGAGGAAAAAGTGGATAGATAATGAAGAGTGCATTAGAACAAATGAGGATAAGGTCTGTCCCAAAGGAATATATGATTAGGCATTATATGCATGATAACAATCTGGAACAAGGGGTGCATAGCGGGGTGGGATGGGGGAGGAAAATGGTGAAGGGGAGAAAATGTGTAACAGTAAATTAAAAATAGATGAGTGAAATTTGGTGAGCTCTGTTGGCCTAGTGGCAAGAAGCTGCACTACAATCCCAGAGGTGAGCGGTTTGAATCCACCAGATGCTCTACTGGAGAAGGAGGGATAGTCTCCTGTATTAGTCAGATCCAATTTGACGGTACACACAAAAAAAAATAATAAAAATTTTTTAAAAAGATGAGTGAAATCACATGCCACTATTTGCATTTATGAAAATCACACCTAAGACAGAATTCTATTTCCAGTGCTTTCAGTTACCTTAATGAATTCAATGTATTCTTCATAGGTGCCTTTGGGAGGTGCAAAATACTTTCCACTTGGAGAAAACCTATAGTGAGGATTTTCAATGATTAGTGGATTATAAAAGTCAGCCAGCATGGTTAACAGGAGACGTCTGTCCCAATCATCTGTCACTCTTCCTCCATAGTTACACTCCCCAGTCAGGTAAGAGATGGCTTCAAATGGAATGGTATTATATTCATTTATAAATAACTGAAACAAAGAAAAAAATGAGTAAGAAAAATTTCATAAAAGCAAGTATTCTGCTTCATCTTCATTTTAAGATGGCATGAACTATCCATATGATATGTGTGACCTCTCTCTATCTCTCTCTATTACACACATGATTGTATACACAGACATTCCCAGAGTCATGCACATGGTTAATAAGCTCCATTGCTCATCAAGACTTTGGAAATTCAAGTCCACCCAGAAATGCCTTGGAAGAAGGAGGCCTTCATTTGTTGATAGGGCAAGACTCAAAATGAGGAGAAATAGTTATAAACATCTGTTGATAATTGGAGTGTGGGATGCATGATTTCTTGGAACCCCTACTGTTTACTACACCAGAGCTTCCTTGTTTCACTTATAGACAACACAGACCTTTTCTAACTGCCTTATTATTAAGGTATCAATATTAATAAAACCAACAATTTGCATAGCTGTTTTTTCTCTCAATAACCCTATAGAGTAGGGAATTTAGGCTGGCAAATGTAAAATTACTTTTTTACAAAGAATTAAGTGGCAACATCAAGGTCTAAATTTATCTTTTCCAGTTAAAGATCTCATAACTTTCTCCAAATCACTGGAATTTTTTAGTAGCAAAAATTTTTGAGATTGTTTAAGTTACTGGTTGAGAGATTTCCTGCCATGGAAGGTTACCTAATAATGCAGAAATTACAGCACAAATGGTATACAGTTTTAAAAAAGGTTTCCTACTTAGGTTTTTGATGATGTTGTTACGTGGTGTCAAATTGGAACTGACTCATAGATGACCCTCTAGTGGGTTTTCAGAGGCTGTAAACTTCACAGGAGGGGATGGTCCGTCTTTCTCTCAGAGGAGTTGATGGATTCAAACCCCTGCCTTTGGGTTGGCAGCACAACTCTTTACCTACGAGGCCACCAGAACCCCTTCTTTCATACTTGTGGTTGTTATGTGCCATCGAGTCTCCTGCGACTCATAGTGACCCTATGTACAACAGCCCTAAACCCTATTCCATCCTGTGCCAATCTCACTGTCTTTGACACATTTACCCCCATTACCCCAGTCACTAAATCAATCCATCTCATTGAGGGTCTTCCTCTCTTGCACTGTCCCTCCACCCTCTCAAGCATGATGTCCCTCTCCAAGGACTGATCCCGCCTTGCAACATGTCCAAAATCATTATCCTTGCCTCCAAGGAGCAGTATGGTTTCATTCTCTCTAGGATGAACTTGTTTGTTCTCCTAGTAGTCCATAGTAGTATATTCAATATTCTTCTCTAGCACCACAGCTTTCATACGTACAGGCTAATAAAAATCTGCTTGACTGAAATCTAATAGCAACAAATTGTATTTTATCAATATTTCCTAATTCCCTTTGTCAAGTCTCACATCACAATAACCCTTCTCACACCAAAGAAGCCAAAAAGAGTAATAGTCTCTGGCTGTCTATTTGAATGAATATATTTGACAAAATAGACCAGAAGTCCTAGGAAAGTACTAGAGCTGGAAAGGCCCAAATTAAAATCCTAGTTCAAGGGCAAGTTCAAATACCAACTTTACAGAGTTGTTGTAAGGATTAAGAATGACAGGTAGTCCATATGCCTATGGATTGAGCCATTCAAGGTCTAAGCAGGTACAAGTTTTTTGTTGTTGTTTATGATTCAGGCCAACCCACATGTGCAGAGTAAATCTGCTCGGTAGACATTTATCTCTAGAGAGGGCTGCTCATCACTTTAATTTCTCATATTGAGTCTAGAAGCTAGAAAAGTCAGCCACTTACTTTCCCAGGCTCCTCTAGAGATAAAAGTGGATAAAGGGTATGGCTGTGGCCTGGTTTTGGCTGATCAGATTTACACACCCTAGACTGTGAAACTCGTAGTGAAACTGGTAGATGTGAAACTGGTAGTTCACATCTACCAGCTGCTCCTCAGGAGGAGAGACAATCTCTTCCCATCTGATTTACTGCCCTTGAAAACTTGCTGGAGGGACAGCTATGAGTCAGTTCCCACTTGATGGCACACAACCACAACAACAGGCTGTGAAACTAGGGATTAAGTGCAAGAAGCCCAAAGAGCTATCTCTTTGGGTGTAGTCTTTGTATCAGAGGCCCACGGGTGACCAGAGCTGCACTAATAGTCAACCAGAGTGGTGGTGCAGTTGTTAGCAGGTGTGGTGACTCCAGGTTGACTTCGCATGACCTGCTTCTGAATGTGGCTCTAGTGCTGCCTTGGTGATTCTGTGAGCTACCTAACCTTCTTTCAAGTAATTCCTTTCCTGCTTTAACCAGACAGCCAATTTCTGTTGTCCGATAGAACTGAATTGTAGAACTAGTGGAAGATGACGATACTGCAAAAGGACAGAAAAAACTGAGGTCCTTGGTGAAAACACTTGTGCTGCTAAATCAACCAGCCCTACAGTCTTAATCTGTATCTCTTTATAATGTGAAATAATGTTGCATAATGTAAAATAATAGTATTTTAGAAACCATTGTTGATGTACCATCAAGTTGACTATACCTTATAGTAACCCTATGAACAACAGATATGAGCTAGCAACCCTATGTCATATGTAACATTTGTAACCCTGTGACATATGTAACACAATAGCCCTGTGAACAACAGGCTTTTTGATCTTTATGGCTTATGGTGTTAGGTACCATCAAATTGACGATGAATAATAGTAACCCTGTGAACAACAGAGCTGACCCTTACCCTATTCTGCCACCCTCATGAACTCCGTCATGCTAAAGCTCACTGTGGCAGTCCCTGACAGTTTATCTTGTTGAGAGTCTTGTTCTCTTTCACTGACCATCTACTTTTCCCAGTATGATGTCATAAACTATAAATATCAATAGTGCCCACCCAATAGTGGTGTCAGGAGAAGTGATCAATCTGTTCTAAGCTAAAGGAGTTGCATTCGGCCTGGACTACAGAGATACATCATAAATAGTCCATTTCCCATCTTACCTGTAGTTGCCGGATACTGATGCGTAAATCTGATTCATTAAATCCATATGGAATATTCCAACCAAGAGGACCAAATTTTTTTCTCTCTTGCACAAGGGCATGAAAAAAACACACTCCAAACAGCAACTTTTCCCATACCTTTAAATACCAAAGTTATAAATCAGTAAAAAATTCTAGGCAGAAGAGATAATTCTTTTCATTATAAGATTCTATGTTTCTGAAGTTTTGAAAAAAAAAGAAAACCCATCAAAAATAATAGTGAATATAAAAAAAATCTCTTATTATTGAATTAAAACCTTGAAAACAAAAAAAACCCAAACAACCAACCTAGAAAGCTAGACAAACCACGATGATATTAAATCTTATTAAAAGATAATAAGTTAACATTTCGACTCAAAGTATGGGTTAATGATATTTTGGTGTTCTTCACAGTAATTTTCAATTATAATCCTTAAATGTTATTCTGTAGACTCAGCACCATATGCTTGAGACTGTAAATGCATGAGAAGAATTAATCTTTGTGATAGGAACAAATCCTACCATAATTCCTTACTTTGCGACTTTTCATTTAGAGATAATTTTTTAAACTATTGTTTATATCATCTTCCCATGGCATCTCCATTGTTATAACATGTATACTGTAATGGACTGTCACACGAGGCTCTCTGTGTTGTTGTTTTGAAGGTTATTCATCATTCTAGCTCAAATAGTCAAGTCTGATAAACATTTAGTACTGGGAGTAAGGGCAGGGAAAGGAGGGTGCAGAGCAGAGGGGTTACTTTCTCCTCAGCACTGATGGTTCCTCACAAATGGAGAGAGCTCACCGCCACACTCATGGATTTTCCCCACCCTTGTAATAACTTGCTGCAGGAAAGAAGAGTGACCTATATGATTGGTAAATATGGCCAAAAAGTTCAACTTCTCCCCTTTTTATCACAGAGTTTCCTATAAGAAGCTGTTCTCCTCCATTCCTCTGGCTGGGTAAACAGACTTAATTCTGGGGTTCAGTAATAGAAAGCTCATTTATTCAGAGGTGTAAGTTACACTTTCTAACTTAGCCTGTATATCAGCAATTAAGGTTGTAAGTCAGTCAGGAAATAACAAGACACATGCACTGGGAAAATCTGCAGTTAGGAATCTTTCTAAATTATTGAGGAGTAATGATGTCAGTTCATAGTCTTCCTAATTACTTGCTATGCATCTGAGAGCTTGACAGTGAATTAAGACAACAGAAGAAGAACCTTTGAGCTATGGTGATGAAGCAGAGCATTTTACATCTCGTAAACAGCTAAGAGAACAAAGAAATATGTCTTGGAGATGGTGCAGCCAGAGTGCTCTTTGGAGGCAAGAATGATGAGGCTTCATCTCATATACTTTGGGGCTGTTGCTAGGAGGAGCTATTCCTTGGAGAGGGACATAATGCTGGGAAGGGTGGAGGGTCAGTGAAGGAGAGGAAGACCCTCAACCAGCTGGATTGACACAGTGACTGCTGCAATGGGTTCTAGTGTGTCAGGAAGTGTGAGGATGGCACAGGATAGAACAGCTTTCAGATCTGTTGTTCTGCGTAATGGGGTTGCTATGAGTTGTGCTTGACACAACAGCACTTAACAACAACAACAACAATGTTGTAAAATTAGTTCCATTTCCCAATTCTTTTTGTATTTTCTCAGCTGGTAAGAATTCAAACAATGAAAATCACCTATACCTAAAATCTTCATTGCCATGCACAAAACTTTTAGATGGGTATACTGGAAAGCATTATTAATATATTAAATAATTGTTATTATTAGAAGTTAAGCATTATAACCCATGACCTGTAAATTTACGCAGAAAAGGTCTTTGACAAAATACAACACTCTTTCCTGATTAAAACACTCATCAAAATAGGAATAGAAGGGACTTTCCTTAACATAGTATAAAGTATATACACAAACCCAAGAGCCAACATTGTTCTCAATGGCGAGAAGTTAAAGGCATTCCTCCTGAGAACAGGAACTAAGCAAGGATGCCCACTATCACCTCTCCTATTCAATATTGTATTAGAAGACTTAGCGGTCGCAATAAGACAAGAGAAGGAAATAAGAGGTATCCAAATTGGTAAAGGGGAGGTAAAATTATCTCTATATGCAGATAGTATGATAGTATACTTAGAAAACCCTAAAGATTCAGCAAGAAAACTACTGGACATAGTTGACCAATTCAGCAAAGTGGCAGGATACAAGATCAACACAGAAAAATAAATTGGATTTCTCTACAGTGACAAAGATATTATAGACCTGGAGCTAAGAAAAACAATAGCGATCACAATAGCTAATCACAAGATTAAAGACTTGGGTGTAAATCTAACTAGAGTAAATCTAACTAGAAACACAAAAGAATTTTTCAAAGAAAATTATAGAACATTATTACAAGAAACAAAAAGAGACCTGGGGAAATGGAAGAATATCCCTTGCTCATGGATAGGAAGGCTCAATATTGTGAAAATGACAATACTACCAAAGGCAATTTACACTTTCATTGCAATCTCAGTATAAATACCAATTCCATTCTGCAACTAGATGGAAAAAGCAATCTCCAATTGTATTTGGAATGGAAAGTGACCCTGAATAAGCAAAGCACTCCTTAAAAATGAGAAACAAGACAGGAGGCATCTCACTCTGATTTCAAATCCTACTACACTGCCATGATGGTCAAGACAGTGTGGTACTGGTACAATGACAAACACATAGATCAACAGAATAGAGAACCTGGAAATCAGCCTATCTACCTATCTATGGTCAACTGATTTTTGACAAGGAGATGAAATCAGTTAAGTGGGAAACGACAGACTTTTTAACAAATGGTGTTGGCAAAATTGGAAAACTATCTGTAGAAAACTCAAACAAGACCCACACTTCACACCATACAAAAATCAACTCTAAGTGGATCAAGGACCTAGGACTAAAACCAAGAACTATAAGCTTCATTAGAGAAAAGATGGGAAGAACCCTACAAGCACTAATTCACAACTTGGACAGTCTTCTAAGCATTCTGAAAACCCTACAACCAGGAGAGGATAAAAGAGATGAACAAGACCTTCTAAGAATTAAATTCCTATGCATATCCAAAAACTTCTCCAACAGGGTAAAAAGGGAAGCCATAGACTGAGAAAAAAATATTTGGTAATGACATGTCTGATAAAGAACTTATATCCAGAATTTATAGAATACTCAAGCACCACAACAAGATAAAGGTAAATCACCCAACTGAAAAATGGGCACAATATGTGAACAGATACTTCACCAAAGAAGACATTCAGATGGTGAACAAACACATGAAGAAATGTTCAAAATCTCTAGTTCTAAGAGAGATGTAAATCAAAACTATGAAATATCATCTCA